ACAGTGCACAAGAGTTCCCTTTTCTCCACGTCCTTACCAATACTTGTTATTTCTTGTCTTTTTGATAATAGTCATTCTAACAGGTGTGAGGTAATGTCTCATTACGGTTTTGATTTGCATTTCCCTGATGATTAGTGATGTTGAGCATCTTTCCTTGTGCCTGTTGGGAAAACATTTATTCAGATACTCTGCCCATTTTTTAATCAGATTCTTTATTTTTTGGCTATTGAGTTGTATCAGTTCTTTATTTATTTTGGATGTTAACCTCTTATCAGATATATGATTTGCAAATATTTTCTCCCATTCAGTAGGTAGCCTTTTCATTCTGTTGATGATTTCCTTTGCTGTGCAGAAGATTTTTAGTTTGATGTAGTCCCTCTTGTTTATTTTTGCTTATTGCCTTTGCTTTTGGAGTCAGATCCAAAAACTCATAGCCAAGACTGATGTCAAGGAGCTTACCGCCTATGTTTTCTTCTAGGAATTTTATGGTTTCAGGTCTTATATTCAAGTCTTTAATCCATTTTGAATTAAGTTTTGTGTATGATATAAGATAGTAGTCTAGTTTCATTCTTTTGCAACTGACTGTCCAGTTTTCCCAGCACCATTTATTGAAGAAACTGGCCTTTCCCACAAGGAAAGAAAATTACAGGCCAATATCCCTGATGAGCATAGATGCAAAAATCCTCCACAAAATATTAGCAAACTCAACTCAACAATACATTAAAAGTTATCATACACCATGGTCAAGTGAGATTTCTTCCAGGGATTCAAGGATGGTTCAACATCTGCAAATCAATCAATATGATACACCACACTAACAAAATGAAGAATAAAAATCATATGATCATCTCAATATATGCAGAAAAATCATTTGACAAAATTCAACATCCATTTATGATAAAAACTCTCAACAAAGTGGGTATAGAGGGAACATACCTCAACCTAATAGAGGCCATATATGACAAGACTACAGCTAACAACATACTCAAAGGTGAAAAGCTGAAAGCTTTTCCTCTAAGATCAGGAACAGGACAAGGATGCCCACTCTCACCACTTTTGTTCAACATAGTATTGGAAGTCCTAGCCAGAGCAATTAGTCAAGAAAAAAAAAAAGGCATTCAAATTGGAAAAGAAGACGTAAAACTGTCACTATTTGTGGATGACAAGATTTTAAATATGGAAAACCCTAAAGACTCCACCAAAAAACTGTGAGAACTAATAAACAAATTCAGTAAAGTTGCAGTATACAAAAATCTATTGCGTGTCTATACACTAACAATGTACTATCAGAAATTAAGAAAATCCCATTTACAATTGCATCAAAAAGAATAAAATAATTAGGAATAAACTTAACCAAGGAGGTGAAAGACCTATACACAAAACTATAGGACATTGATGAAAGAAATTGAAGAAGACACAAAGAAATGGAAAGATATTTCATGCTAATGGATTGGAAGAATTAATATTGTTAAAATGTCCACACTACCTAAAGTAATCTACAGATTCAATGCAATTCCTAACAAAATTCTGACGGCATTTTTCACAGAAGTAGAAAAAACAATCCTAAAATTTGTATAGAACCACAAAAGATCCCAAGCAGCCAAAACATTCTTGAGAAAGAAAAGCAAAGATGTACGCATCATGCTCCCTGATTTCAAACTATACTACAAAGCTATAGTAATCAAAACAGTATGGTATTGGCATAAAATGAGACACATAGATCAATGGAACAGAATAGAGATCCCAGAAATAAACCCACTCATTAATATAGTTAATTAATTTACAACAAAGGAGGCAAGCATATACAATGCTCTTTCTTTTTTGACCTTTTGAAGTCTTCAGTTAGACGAGACCTTGTCACTGGTCCTTTAAGTAAGCTAATAATGTAAACTAATGATGTTGAACCTAGAGAAGAAAAAGGCATGATAGATGTCCCTTGATTACTTGCAGGATTATCATCTAGAAAGATTATTCTAGGCAACACCTGGCCTACAACCAACACCAATAAATGGACATTACAAGGAAGTTTATTCTGGGAACACCAGGACCCTACCTATGAGTGAATGGATATTGCAAGGAAGAATATATTTGCTAAATAGGTTAAAAATTATTACAACTGGTGATATTTGGCAATGGAATAATGCTGAGGCCAGAAAACACTGAGTCAAGTGAATGTCTTCGGAAATGGTAACCATATAGGAAGGCCTAAGAGGAAAGATTGGTCAGACCATAATACACAAGACAGTTCATGACTGCACAGCCAGGATGGAAAGAGAGTGTTTCTAGAAGTACTAAGGTACTTCTGCCTTATGTGACTCAGGGAGAAATTTGTTAGTGGTATCCTGGGTTGTAATTCTGAATATATTTTCCTGAAGTCAATTGGTCTTATATAGTGGTTCTATAGTACTTTTACTAATACAGACAGTTAATTAGACTTATGTTAAATGACTTGGGAACCCAGTATCCATTTATTCATTAACTCAGCAAATATATATTTATTGAGCACCTACTATGCCCCAAGCACTCTTCTAGGCCCTGAGGATAGAGCAGTGAACAAAAAGAAAAAGTTGCTAGCGGCTGGCCCTGTGGCGTAGTGCTTACGTGCACGCGCTCTGCTGTGGCGGCCCTGGGTTCGGATCCTGGGTGCACACCGACGCACTGCTTGTCACACCATGCTGTGGCGGTGTCCCATATAAAGTGGACGAAGAAGGGCAGGATATTAGCCCAGGGCCAGTCTTCCTCAGCAAAAAGAGAGGAGGATTGGTATGGATGTTAGCTCAGAGCTGATCTTCCTCACAAAAAAAAAAAAAAGGAAAAGTTTCTACCCTTAAAGAGCTTACATTCTACTGACTGCAAAAATTTTATAAATAAACGTGTAAATAATAAAATTAATTATTAATTTAATAAATATTAATTTAAATATTATAGTGATCATTTTAATTATTAAATTATTCAAATAATTAGTAAAAATAATATAGACAATGTAGCCAAAAATAATTGACATAAAAGCTAAAAATAATTTTCCCTTTTACATGTATTGATGCTGTCAAATTTGCCTTAATTTGCTTCCTGAATAGAAAGCTATCTTTTTAAAATACATTTTCATAGAATAATCGTAACCATCAATTATAATTTGTATCATTTTATATGTATTGTATAAATTTCAAAAATTAAATGGAAATATGTTCCTTTTCTGGAAATCTTTCTGCTTTTCTGGTGAAAGAAATGGTATGGCTCCTGTATGATGCATTGACATATTTGAGATTTTTCTTATTCAGGAACTTGAATCTAGAGGTACCATGTAATTCTGTCCAAAATTCATTTCTTGGGTCACTGAACTGTTATTTACACTTTTTGGTGTCCATCTGGGTTATGAATATCAAAGAAGCCAGTAAAATATACAATTTTTAAAATTTCATGTCACCTTAAAAGAAAAAACCTGATGATACAGTAATGTCATGAAGTCATTTTAAATATTAGGGAAGGGATGTTAGAGGTGATGAGGTCTATAGACCTGTGTTTAGAAATGAAAACACTGAGGCAGAGTGACTTTCTAAGGCCCGGAACCTGTCTTCTGGACTCAGGCCAGGGGTCTCTCCACCACTCGACACAGTTTCGTTTCTCTGCCATTTGAAGAGGTTGTAGGGTTGGGTGAGGTTTATTAAGGAGGCTGCAAACGGCCTGTGCTGCTGTGCCTGACTCTTCTGATCTATCAAATGCAAGATGTCTGTTACCAGCTGGCTCAAATTCCCAATTATACCATGGTTTAGCTAAATGTTAGCAAGCAGAGGACTTTCTAGTTTTCAGTGTTAGAATATGTATTGCCTGCGGACCTTAGTCAGTAATTAGTTAACTTTCTGAGTTTTGTAAGATATTGATAACATTTACACCATAATTTTTTTTTTTGAGCACTTACTGGGTACCAAGCAGTGTGTTAAATCTTTAATACGTTTCAACTGCTTAATTCTCACAACCTCTCAGGTGGATACTCTTATCATCCCCATTTTACAGAGCAACAAACTGAAGGGAAGATACGTAGGGTGTGTCAAAAGGTGATAGGGCTATAGTTAGCATCAGAAGTGGAACCCGGCTCTTAACTACCATCTGACTTATCCCCTTAATTTGGCATCAGGAGCCACAGACCCAGAGAATTTAGATGATCTGTCCAAGATTATAAATCTGGTGTGGGGCGAGGGCTAGTCACACTTTACATCCAATGCTGATTATTTTACAATGCAGATGTTCTTAGAATGGCTCCTTCTGCCAGCTTAGGTGAGTTCTTAATCTAACATTCGTCTTATAATAAAAAAATCATTTACATACTTAGAGAAGTAGGTAGTTTTAAAAGATAATAGAAATAGACAGTTTAAAATTTCCTTTGACAAAGTTATTCTATTTTTTTAATAGCTGTTTGATTTCTATGGTAATGCTGAGTGTTAAGCCAACCTTTTTTTATACTTGTTGGTAGCAGTGCCTTTATTCATAATGTGAAATCTTTGGGGCTCTCTGGTGTAGACGTGGTATTTTCATCTGCCTATTATGCTTGTTATATTGTGTTATCCAAGTGAGATTTGAAAAAAAAAGTCCCTGATATTAAATAGTGACTCATTCTTTATCATTAAGGCAGATAGACTGGCTATTTCTGACAATGTAGTGAAGCTCATTTTGCTGCCTTCTTTTTTTTTTTTTTACTTTATTTTGTCCAACCTAACAATAATTTCACTGGAGGAGAAAAATTAAAATTGCCTCATTGACAATGTAATGGTATCAGTTTTTCCTTCATAGAAATTAAACAAAGAAAAAATCTTAACAGTGACTTTCCAGGGGTCAGTTGTGCTTTTAGAACAATGCCTAATAAGTTCTCAAAGCTTGGTTTTCTGGAGAAATCTTTCCGTTCTGAAACACTTAGTTTTGCGTTTTGTGAAGAGAAGTATGAATAAGAGAGTCCGTTTAACAAAATTCAGAGGTGACTCATCTTTGTTTCTCTCCTCTCTCTCCAGCTCTTTCTCTTTGTTGTCTGGAACTTCGAGCTCTACATGGTACCGCTGGCTTTGTTGTTACTGTTGACATGGAACTACTTCTTGATGATATCGGGGAAAGATAACAGGCAACATGATACAGTAAGTTTGTACTCTCTTTTTTGTATGTGTTTTTGTTCTTATTCTGAGTCCGCCTGACACAACATTGAATCTGGTTTTACAAACCAGAAATTCTGTCTATAAATACTCAAGTTTGGAGGAAAGTTTTATCACTTCAAAACTAACAACTCTTTGGTTCTCATACAATAGAAAAGTATTCACCTATTTCTAATGTTACTCCTCCTGGTAGGAACTAACGTCAGGAGCACACCAAAGAATGAGCTATGATTTTTAATTATAGATGAGTTGTTCCAAATGATTATTTTTTATCCTCCTTATTTGTTTTTATGTCTTTATGAATTCTGAATTAAGACATAATATCACAAAATTATTCACGATCAGACCAAACAAATGTATTTTATTTAAGACACTTCTCTGTGGTCTGTCATTGGAAGGAAGGATTGATGGTTGTTGGCCTGGAAAGGTGCATCAAGTACCTTAATTCGATGAACACTCAGCAAACAACAGCAAATATCCTCTTCTGTGTCCGGGGTGTATTAGGATACCGGCTCCAGGATGAAGAGCTTTCATTTAACCTAGCGAAAGTTATACTAAACACGCTTGTCCTCTCCGGCATTTTTGAAAGTTTTTAGAATGTGTGAGACAACCTTCTCTCTCTCGAAGAGTTTTAGACTGAAAAGCAGAAGCTAGCCACATTCTAATCACATTTGTTTGTCGTTCTCCTGCCAACCTTCATTTTCCTTAGATTATCTGTCACTACACCCTAGCAAACACACAACTTCAAAAAGCTTTCTCATATATAAATAAACGGGAGAGGGGTGTCTTCTTCAAATAGGACATTTGCAATTTGTTAACTCTATAGACAGCTGTTGGGAAGAATTTAAAGGTTTGTCAAACATGAGAATCTATTTGGTAGCTGTATGTCTTCATCAGATTACATAGATTTTGAAAAATTTGCCGTTAAGAGTCTCCATTTGACTTCTAGTCAGGACTTTTTGCCAACTATTATGACCATAATGATACAGGAAACAGAGTTATTTGATCATCAGTTTAATAACATTATATAGTACTGTATTATAATAGTTATCATAATGGTTGCACAGACATACTTGTGACATAAAAGAATTTCCCTTTTAAATAACTCAAGCAAAATACACTTCAAATGGTAACACAAGCAAAATATACTTCTTCAAAACAATTTTCCTTATTATCAAAATAAAACAAAAATCCTGATGAACCACCACCAAGTACGTGGCAAAGTTGCCAACAAGACACCATGTGTATTTTCCTATATTATTTGTACAGAGTTGTCTCTCTCACTAGATTATAAATTTGCGGGAGGGGACTCTGTTCATCTTTGTATTTGCCACTGTCTCTAGCATGTGTTTTGCAAATTAGAGGTGTTTGAAACATTTTTTGTAAAGTTTATCAAACCAAACATGAGATAGCTAATAGCGATTTTAATGGTTAGGCAGCATCAACAGACAAGAAGTGATTATTATTATTGGCAAGGATTTTATGGATGTATATTTGAATTGCACACTGAGAGACAAGCCCCAAATGCCATAAGCATTGATGTCATGGGGACTAATAGGTACTTTTGTCAATTAATCCAGGATGTTTTCTTTAAGAAAATAGGACTCTCTCAGACAACTGCCCTTTTGTCCCATTTATTTCAGGGAGATTGTCGAGAGAGGAGAATATCTCCTTTTCATTCAGTTGCCTTGAGACAAATTTGCAAATAAGATTCTTTGCAAATAGGAAAAAGTGGTAATTTAGTTTCAGCTTCTTAATCCTATGAGGGGGCTTATCTTCAATATTTAGTCATTAGTTTGAGTATTCTTAGTGAAAAATTCTGAAACTATAGACTTTGCTTGTTATCTTCTCCAGAATATACTTGCATTGGCTGGAACAGTCCACTTTTCAAGGGGAAATATTAATATATAATGTATCCCCTGGTACTTAAAATTCTCTAAGAATTTTTATAAGCCTACTGAAAAGTTACATATTATGTAGATTTTTCTACTGCCCCTTTTCCCCCCAAAATATAACTCCAAAGTAGTATTTATCAAATCTTTCCTTTTAGGCACATCTCTAACAGACTCCCCCTTTTAGCCATGGACTACATTTTATTCCCCAGCACAGCCCACTGTGAAGCATTCTATAGTCTAACTTTCATGGAATGCCAACTACACTCCATAACTCCCAGTAATTGCCTTTTATTTGCCCAAAACACACATATCCACATATTCTGTTCTTTCTAGTCACCAGAGCAGCAATCACAGCGTTTCATTCAGCTTCTTATTCACTGGCTCAGTTGAGACCTTACGTAACTCTTAAATCCAATTTGTCTAATTATGTGTTTTCTGCCATATCCAGCTGTGCATTTGAACTGGTTGCTCCTTTTGAAAAGAAACTTGGATTATACTTTGCTGGTTACAGATTATATATATACACACACATATATATGTATACATATATATTCACACATACACACACACATGTAAGTTAAGGGCAAGTGTTTGCAGGGGTTTCCATGCTCCATCTAAGTGACTCCACTGTATAGTGCATAGCACTGGAAGAATGGTATTTTGCCCAAAGTCCTTAGTGGTATCCCCAAAAACAATGCAGAATCTTTTAGCATGTGTGACAACTTTAGGGAATCTCTGAAGTGCATTAATCACACCATTGGCTGATTCCAAACCAGGAAACTTTCTACTTTAGGAAAGAGAGAGAGAGAGAATTTTCTGTCACACACAAAAAATCATCTGTACATTCAGCTGAGAAAATTCAATTAGGATGAAAATTATCAAAGAAAAACAAATATAAATGACCTTCAGGTTTGTATAGCAAAGAGAAAAAAGAAAATAATATTTCCATGACATAAAAAGTTGGAAGAGAAAAGAAAATAAACACTGTGAAATATGAAAAGTGCTAGATGGGTAAAAATTCTGTCTTCAACAAGTTGGTTGATAGTGAGAGTAATACTAAAACAGGAAAGAATGTCTTTGTATGTTTATTGTTTATTAAGGAGACCATTTCCTTTCTTGGAGACTTAAGACCACAGGAGCTGAAATCCTCTATCTTTTCCCCACCATGGTGCCTGTTCTAGTTTAATGAGAGAAATGAGATGTAATCCATGCCCAGTAAATTTTGCTGCATATAATGAGCTGAACCCATTGAGGACAGGATAAGGAAACAGCCATTCCTGAGGCTAATGCTCTAGACTCAGAGGTACACAAGAGAAAGAGGCGTGGTTAGAAATGGTATTTCACCTCTGCCGTTTCTCAGTTGGACTTGTTAAAAATAAGCACTACTAGATCTGAATCTACCGATACTCAGACCATGACATGAAAATTTCTAGCATGAGAATTGCTAGGCTTTTCCAGAGAAAACTGTTTAATACATACTTCATTCAGAAATGTCTCTGGCATGAAGGTGATATAAAGATAGGAATGTCATACTCCTCTTGATTTGAGCTGTCACTCCAAAACCTGGGGAAAGTTCTTCCCTGCACTGCCTGTTAGGCTTGTACCAACTATCCACATTACGGTTACTGTGGACTGAAATTTTGTGAGTTGAAGAGTTGATGCCAGGAAGTGGCCTTTCCTTTGAGTTTAAAAACTACTGAATCTTCATCACACCCTGGACACTGTATTAAGCTCTCTCTTTCATCATGTCGTTTAGTCCTCCTCCAGGAGAGAGCAGCTGATCGTGTCAGCCCAGCCAATGGGTTGGGTCCTCCTAAGTCAGGCGACCCCCCTGGTCTCTTCCTCTGTGGTAAGCAAAGAACATACTCATGTGGAACAAGCATGGCTACAAGAGCCCTTCCTTGAGAGAAGGGAATCAAGTCTCAGAGAATGAAAGCAATGGGTTGGCCAAGCAAACCATGGGGCTGTTGTGCTCCCTATGAGACCGGTATCATTATTACTACTACTTTACATACCAGAAACAGGGCAGAGAGGTTAAATAGCTTACCCAGAGGCACACAGTTAGAAAATGGCAGAGCGAGTATTAGACCCTGTCAATCTGTCTGAAGTTTGTACGCCTTATCCCCAGTCAGTCACATTGCCTCTTAGGGAAGTATTTTGGTACATCCCAGGTTTCCCTGGGCACCTTTAGAGCAAGTTTCTCCCTCGAATTTCAGAAAAGCCAGTAGCACTAACTCTACCTTTCAGTGAACCAATTGATGGAAAAGCCTCACTTTCCCCACTCCACCTCCCACATCCTCCTTACCTCTCATTCAAGGAAATGGAGCAGATATTTATTAAGCAACTTCTATGTATCAGATATCCTGCAAGGCTTTTAGAGACATCATCTCTTTTAATTCTTTACAATAACTATATCAAGTAAATTATTCTAAATGGTTTTATTCTCATTTTACAAATAAAGAAATTCAAAATCAAAGAGGATAAATAATGAACTCCATAGAGTAAGTGGGATGTGAACCCAGCTCTGCCTTGTTCTGAAGCCGCAGGCTATTTCCATGGTACACACTTGGGCTTGCCTTTCCAAGGGATTGCTTTCTGAGTGTTCAGGGCCTTGCATGGAATCCCAGGTATCTCCAAATTCCTTCTTACTAGGTACCTGGTGACCTCTCAAGAACTGGTGCTGGTCACTGGTCTGATCCCAGGTGACCCCATTAACTTTAAAACCATTCATGACCTGCAGGACTACCTTCCATCCACCCAGGTGAGCATGGGAGGAGTAAATCAAAGCTGAGAATCCTTCACATTAGTGAGGAAAGTCTTTCAATATCTTTGACGTGCAAAAATTCAAGCAGTGTTTTTTAATTACGCTTTAAAAGAACACTTATTTTTACTGTCATGATATTCCTCCCACACAACAATCTCAGTTGCCTAATCAACGGAGGCATTAAAAGACTGAAGAGTAGGGATCAATGAAATCATTCTCTGACTCATGATGTGACTGTGACACACACTGAGCCCAAGTCAGCTTGCTAAAATACTTTAGTAAATACTGAAATGTTTGTTAGCTCCCTCAAATGGCAAAGCCCTCAA